TAGCATTATGAATAAACGAGGCTGGTGGGAGCCATGCTTGGGATTAGTTTTTACTAATTACTTACATTACTCAGCATTTGTTACAACAAATGCTGAGTAATGAAAAAAAGCATCCATCCAGATATGAAACCATTCCAACTCACATTGTAATTTCTCTGTCATAAGCTCTTTGTATCCTTGGCTGCACTCCAATCCTTTTTTCTTTAAATATTTTTAGAGGGTAAAGTAAGAATAGTTACATGTCTGGGTTAATTTTAAATTACACATGTTTGATCAAGTTGTACTGGTTTCCATCACTGGTGAATTTATTGTCATGTCAAAAATTTAATGTATATCTTAGCAGAGTTAAAATGGACAAACAACATTATAGTGCTGATTATTTTATTTTGAAAATGAAACACTTTCTAGGTAATTCTTTAGGTTAAGTGAAATAGTTGCCCTCTGGTGATCATTTGCAGTCAAGATGTCTGTGCATTCAGCTGGAATGTGCACATCTTGGGGCATGTGCATTTGTTGCAACAAGTCTGGAGGTAAACCTCCTAAAAAACAAAAGTTCAGAGTCTGTTACAGGATGAAGGTCTCAGACTCTTTATCTCTAACAGCTAAGAGCAAGATTGTCCTGCTCAGGTACACATTTAATGCAAAACATAGAGTCCACATATTATTTATTATGTACACACGCACACAGAGACAATCATACAATCTAATAAGGAATTCATAGTTGAAACAATATAATTCTATAATTTATTTAGTATGAAAGATGTCAGTTTTTATTAACTATATAACAGTTCAGTTTATTTTCAACATGCAGCACCAATTTATGCCAAAAATATCTAAAGGCACGGTACAATTACAGACATCCCAATCCATTAAAATACAGTGTTTTACTATAATTATCATTACATTTCAATGCAGATTACAACATTTCAAAACATTATATAAAATTTACAATAATCAAGCCGTAACCTAATTAACATCAGCTCATTGAAATTCAGAATGTTGTTGATTTTAAAATGACTTTACAGAAAATGTGGTCTCATGACTTAAATTTAAAACTAAATATACACGTTAGCAT